TCCCTCATCGGCCTCATCTCCCGACAACGACCAAGCTCGCGGACGCGTCAAGCCGATCATCGGATATTCCTTTATCCGCGCGCGTAGCGTGAAATCGACGCGATCGCACTATCACACACGCTATCCCGACGTCTAGGTAAATGAGGCTCAGGTATAGCCCAGGTGAGAGAGCGAGAGAGAAAGAAAATCTCTCCGCGACGCGGTCAGAGATATAATGTATTCAACGACGATAGATTGGCCGACCAATCGGTCCTAGGGTTGCCCCACTGCAACCAGCTCCAACCATTGCCTACCAAGTTTACTCCCATTCACGACCGCTGCGCGAACGCCACGCCGAGCCGTTCCGGTCGAGTCGCGGCTCGAGCAACCGAGGGCAACCCGACAAAGCTTCCCCCGGCAAAATCAATAGACCAATGGCTACTGGAACGCGTGCGTAATTACCGCTCGTGACGGACATTGCCTCTCGCCGGTTTTACCCCGATTCTCCGGGCCCTCGCCCCATAGTGGGGAAAAGGTCGCGTATACCCTGTTCTCCCTCGCCGTTCTAGCAACCCCTTGTAACTCCCTCTTCGTCGGCATCGCTTTTCCGACATCCATGCAACGACCCGCACGGCAGGCATCGAGCGCGGATACGTGCGAGCAGCAATTTAGCCGAATCATTCCTGTCGCATGATTTATCACCGTCAAGCGTGCGGTGATAATGGTAGGCTCGTGATAGTGGCGGTGGTGGTGGTGTGGTGGTGGTGGTGGTGGTGGTGGTGATGATGGTGGTACCGACCCGAATAAGCGGTGGCGTAAAGTGCGCACGATATATCTACCAAACTCGCTGCGTGAATGATTATCGCGGTTATTATCCATCGGAGGTAATCACGGTAATCTTTTTTTTTTTTTACATGCCAAACGCGAGACACATCTCGGGCGCGACATATGTTTACTTTCACTTGTATTTTACTGAATTTCTTACACGCCACGTCATCTGTAAGGATTTTCTTGCTAACTTTTTTAACTCTCTCTTGCATTCCTGTGCGGAATTTTCGCACATAATCTAGACAGTATCATTCGAAACATTATTGTGAAATATATCAAATATATATGTCAAATATTAATATGTATAGCAATAAACTCTGCATTTATTTTGAGAAGAAACTCCAAGACTTATAGAGAGATAAGTGCAATGTTTAACATAAAAATTGAGAAATTTAACTTTGTCAAAGATAAAACTGATTATTAGCTTAAATAATACAGAGGATACTTTATTTGCAAGGAATCATTTCTTCTTGCATAAGATCATCAAGATAAGATTATCGAGAAACAATTATCAGATATTTTTAAATTATTATTATTGAAATAAAAGATTATCTCAAACGTATGTTTCTCGATGATTTTATCTTACTATCATTATATGAATAAAATAATAAAAAAAGCATATTGATTTGCATAAAAATCATATGTATAGATTTTTATTCTGCGTTATATAAAAATAAACGCCAATGCGAAAAGCATTAAAAATTGTAACGGGATAATAACTTAACTCCTACCTTCTCTGAACCTGCCTCACCTTTTGTAGAAAATGTAATTGTGGTTTTTTTCATATAGCAAAATATAAAATTTACGACAAATTTTGTAAATTTTTCGTTTCAGTGAATATAAATTCTCATTTGATTCTCTCATTCTATCCATGTTTCAAGAACAATAAAATGAATATGCTGCAGCAATAATTAATAGTTGTTTTCACCACACATGCCTGACTCGTTATTTTTTCGCGCGACACACGATCGCGTATATTCAGACGCACGAATAATAATAACAGCCACAAATGTTTTGCGACATTGTAACAATGTAGCATATGTTGCGTTAATTCGCGGTGAGTAATCGCGCGGCTTGTAATTTGTCGGACGTGGTATCCGATGATTTTCCTTCTTTTGTTCTTTGTTTGAACGTAACGATTAAACGATTCTGCAAATTTAAGTAACGTAACGCGAGGCAATGGAAAAATAAAAGCATCAGATGTTATATTAGAGTCTTTGCAAATTAATATAATTCGTCGAAATAAATTGCTCGTTCGTCGCTATCAAAAAATTATACTAACGTTGTAAGACAACTCTGTTTCCTGTGTGTTTGAATAACTTCATTTCCTAATCCGACAGTTGAGGTGAAACAAAAATTAATTTATTCAGCTGTCTAGATAACAAATCTCACTTAATTAGTTCATAAACATTAATACGTAATATTTGTCCAATTTGTCAAGCAATCGCTTGACTTGTGATAGTGACTTGTGAATTTCTAAGAAAAGTAGATATTTGATATCTGGCATATTGTTTTAATCGAATTAAGATGACACTAAATATAACTGTTGTCAGAAAAGTATCTACAAACAAAATGTCCAAATTATTCTACAATTATGTAGCTATTATTTACAATTTCTACTTATAATGGAGCAAAAGCTTTTCCAAGTTTTTCCAATATTATCAAGGAAAAAGATTCTACTGCGATTTTTGCGGTAGATCTGAAATCTATCAAAAGATATAACACATTGCAGTGTTAATTGACATTCAAAAAAATCACTGTTTGAGAGAAAAGAAAACCATATGAGAACGAGTCAACACACTACGTATGCTTGCTATATTTTCGTCGAAATAATAACCATAATTTGTTTATTTTTTATTTCTGCATCGTTTATTGCGTATGAAATTACGACGATATTTTGCTCGTTAAAGATAATAAACGTCAAAATGAGATATTAAAAAAACAGAATGAAAAATATTATTCATGATTTATACTCCAAGATTTATTAAGTAATAAATGCACTGTAATATCAAGGAAATCTATAGAAACATACTTCTCTCTTGTCATCAGAAACCATTATGAAATATTACCGTGTTTAGTAAGCAATAGAGCGTTTGAAATAACTGTCATTTAAAATTATTATTATATCAACTTATATATCACCGTCTATTTATATTTACGTTACATCTGTATTTGCTCTACTTTATGTTTTCTATTATTAATATAAATATGTAGCATCCGTACATGGATACAATATATACATTAAGCATATCTCTTTTTTTTTCTCTTCTTTTTTTCTCTAGCATTTATTACGTAACTATTGTATATGCGTCTATATATTGGTATAGACAAGTAATATTTTTCTCAAGTAATCGATATACATATACATATATTAATACATTTTGTCCACATTTTTATCTTGATTAAAAGTATAAAAGAATAATTTAATAAAAATCTCAGAATAATCTCATTCAAATTAGTTAAGAAAATTATAAAATGAATAACGCGACTTTGTATAAATAGTACATAAATTTTTAGCAATATATAGAATATTCTAAAACGACAAAATATCGTTGACACATCAAATTCTCTCTTTGACTGATACGGAATCAATTTTTCAATTAAAATATATTGAGATATTTATAATTTTTATATAGATATTAATATTGTTAATTTTCATATTAATATTAATTAATGATTTTAAACCTGATGCATTTCTATGAATAGCTTCAAAAGAAAGATTGAATAAAATTGCATTTCTTGTTAATTTTAAGTAAGCTTTAATAAAATTATAATTTAAAAATGTATTAGAAATTAAAAATTAATTCTAAAATATTCTAATTATGATTAAAGAAATATTTGTGATGGTTTTGGAATATACATATATTCTATTCTATGTACATCCTACATATTTTCCATCCTATAATTATAACTATACTCTTATATAATTAGAACAATGAAGAGCAATCTTTTGCCTACTTAAGAGCTTTTCAAAGAGAAAAGGTTCACTTCTAAGTACGTTCGACGATACCATACGTCAGCCAACGATTAATTAAATCAAAGTTTCACACTAATAACCGGCAATTTACAGATAATTTCAAGAACGATATAAATAGATTCTTGGGAATACTTGGAGAGATAGAAGAGCTTCCCTATAGGTAGTGTACTGTCAAATAATTACTCAATACCCAGTTTCGTTCGTGTGGAAAGGCTAAGCCAAGCTAAGCAAGTGTAACGTTGGCACCAACCGCATATCAATCGGTTATTCCTATATGAGTGTGCTGTCCAAGTCCGATATACTACGTCAGTCAACGATTGGCTAAATCCAATTTGACTAATAACCGACAATTTCGAGATAATCTGGAGAACGATATAAATAGACCTATCCGAGGAATACTTAGAAAGATAGAAGGACTTCCCTAGATGGTGTACTGTCAGGTAATTACCTCGTACTCCAGTTTCATTCGCGTGGAAAGGCTAGTCCAGGCTAAGCAAGTGCAACGTTGGTATCGGTACCAATCGCGCACCAATCGGTTATCCCTGAGCGTGCCGCCGTCCAAGTCCGACATCAACGTATGTATACACGATACCAAAATTACATATGCAACCCGTGGCAACGGCCGAGGATCGCTTTGCGCCGGCATAGCAAAGAAGAGTCGGAAGGTCTTTAAAAGCGTGTGGGAGAGCGAACAGATCAGTAGGCGGCTACCGGATCGCCCAATTGGTGGATCGTCTTGGTAATGGTCGATGGGCGTTGGGTAAGCTCAGATGCGCGGCTTGCTGTGCGCACTTGGCTGACTTTACCCAGGTCTTTTTTCTCTCCCTTTCTCTTTCTCTCTCCCTCTTGGTCTCCATCTATCTCTCTCTCTTTCCCTTTTTTTACATGCATCCCCACGATGCCGGTTCCCCACCACGCTTGTATGCGCATTGACTAGGTCTCTCGCGAGGGTCTCCCCGTGTTTTCCGTCCCGCGTCCACCCTTTACAATCCAGCTTGGTGTAATCAAGTAGCTTCTGATGTCTTCGACCGCCTTCCTCATATTCGTCTCCCTCGTCTTCGCCGCCACGCGGTGCCTTAAATCTTGATATCTCGTCTCTTCTCTCGGGTGGGTAGCACCAGAGGAGCTCTTTCGCGGGTAAAGAAGAGGTGGGGGTAAGGCTAGTCTGGGCGCGCTTCGAGAGCAGCGCGGAAGGCAATCTGCTCGAATACGGCGGAGCGCGAGCAGGTTGCCCCGCATTACGTCGTCCGGATAGAGAAGAGAGGCTTGAAAAGAGAGCAATCGCACTGTCTCTCGATACCCTGCATCACCCTGCAGCCGGCGGCTATAATAACGGACTAAAGATGAACTGAAACTGCGCGATGTACGAGTTTTTCATTTCTCCCTCACCGGGACACGAAGAAGACAGTTCGATCGCGTGACAAGAAAAGTAGTGCATGGTGGAAAAACGACGGGAGAAAAAAGTCGAGAGCGAGGAGAAAGAGAAGACTAATCACCCTCTCTTTCTCTCTGCTGGAAGAATTTTTTTTTCATATTCTCCGGTTACATCCAGAAATGCTCTCGAATGCGTGAAAATGTATCGCGAGGGATACAAAAAATTCTCGCGATAACTCTCGTGTGTGCACCGTGGAAGAAAAACGATCTCTTGGTGAACAGGTATACGGGGAGGAAGAGAGGGAATCGGAGTGACCAGGCAAGTCGCACGTCACATTAAATCTTGATCTCACCTGGGCGAGTAGAGGCGAGTCCCTCCCGACCGCGGGCGGGAAACAGTGGGGGTAAGGCTAGTCTGGGTGAGCTTTGAAACCCTGAGCGGAAGGCAATCCGCTCGAATCCGACGGAGCGCGAGCAAGTTACCCCGGTGACGTAGTCCTCGTCGGCTGTCATTGGAGAAGGGAGTCCCTCATAGGCGGAAGAAGCGAGAGGGCAATCGACACGCGAAAAAGAGCACGTAGAGGGGAAGAGAAGGTGGCAGAGGAAGAGAAGAAGGAGAGGACGTGGCCACGAGCTTCGTCGAGAAGGCGCTTGCGCCCCAACATTCCGCGCCTTCGACTCCTCGACTAGGCTCGAGTGTCGCGACGACGTAAAAGCTCGCGTCGCGATGCTTCGTGATCGTCATCGCGCGAGCAGACAAGAAATCCGCTAATCAAATCCGTGGAACTCGTGTGTGTCACGTGACAGGTCGCGCGAAACATGTTTATGCAGTTGGAGAACGGTAGCTGATGGAGAATGATGATGTTGCTCTCATAAGTGTACACGTGACAAGTGAACGGTTGAGGGGGACCAAGTGAAGATTTTGGAGACAAATGGGAACTGCGGTTGACCGACGAGGAATACGGTGGGAATGTATATCGAACTTGAGTATAGTCATCCCTTATCGTGTCTGTGCGAAAATAGAGGAGGAGTAACAAGTTCGACGATCGCGCGATTGACAGATGACTGCGAAACCATATTACTAACTTTACTGTGAAAATGTCCGTGCAACGGTATCGTTCGACGCATAATGAAAGGCGCGAATATTCTTAGCCGTTTACTCCGAGGGCGAAAATTCCCGGATGACACGTTAATTCGCGCCCGAGGACATTTATCGACCTTTCGATCGCACGTTGAATCCACGGGGGAAGAATCGACGCAAAAAATCTGTTGGATGCAAAGATAGACACGAGAAGGAAGAGCGAGCAAGGGAGAGGGAGAAGAAGCCGTTGCGCTGAACGAGGAGGGGGTGGAGGTGAGATCGTCTGGTGATGATGATCGGTGGCGGCGTCGCGACCCCTCCTGGTACTGCCAAGTCGGCTGCTGCGATCGACAGCGAAATGGTGCAGGTCGACGGCATTGGCAGTGGTAGTGTCAGTGGCAGTGCTAGTGGTAGTGGTAGCCCTGCGACGGGCGCGACCACCACGCGACTCGCAAATAGCAACAACAGCAACAACAATAGTAGCAGCAACAACAACAATAATAACGGGGAAATTAGCAATAACAATAACAACAACAATAATAACGATGGACACGCGGTCGCGAATTGCGCCGGCAACACAACCGCTTCGGGGACGAGCGACAAGTTTTGCTGCCAGGACGAGGATGTGCCCATCAGCACCGGCGTTGCTCGACCTTGGGAACCACCGTCGCCGACCTTCTCCCAGACCAGATCGCATTTGCTGCAGATCCATCCGCCGCATCATCATCAGCATCCGGCGGCGCATCATCATCAGCAGATGAATGTACCGGTCTCTTTAATCGATGGTAAGTAGAAATCTTCAGATACTCGTAATCAAATCGGATTATCCGATCGAGTCTCCATTCTTCACAAGTCTCTTTTTTTATCGAGGTTTTCTTGCACGGTAGCAAGTCTCAGAGAAAGAGAGAGATTTATTGCCGATTTTTGGAGTCATCGAATAAATAATCGTTTGAAACAGCTACCGTGTATGTTCGATATGCGTGTAAATATTATTCCATTAACCGTTTGATAACAAAGAAGATGTTCGGGAGCATCAAACTGTTGAAAATAAATTTTTCACACGTTAACGTGCGAAATGAATCATGATAATCAAATATTTTTATCGAATTGTGCAATTTCGCATGTGCTTTGTTATAATAAATATCTTTGCTACAGATTAAATTAATTAAAACAAGTTCTGACACCTATTAAAAGCGATCACTTCTGTTATAGGAATATTTTGTACATTTCCATCGTTATAATGTCTTCTTTCAGTTTTTGGATATCTAAATAAAAAAAAGATAAAACGAACGCGCGTGTGTAATGAAGAGCCAATTAATTCCGTTGTGCCGCAATAAATCGATAATTACGAGATACGTCACATACAACGTCACTATTTACAATCGTGTTCCATGCACTTTATTACAATAAAATTGCACGATGTTATTCAAATTTAAGATCTTTGTTTAACAGACCTCATCCGAACACCTGAATACACTTTTGAGACTATCGAAGGTAGAAACAATAATCAATGAAATGTCGAAATAACAAGTACGTGGAAGCGGCGAGAATTCTGTGAAATTAATGAGAATGAAGTAATCTTTCTGATGGATAATTGTCAAATTTTCTTAGAACGATGTTGATTTTAAATATAAATCTTGGATCTTTTTTATCGAAATGTATTGAAGTGAACTAAATTTCGAAAATAGACTTCTTATTAATTTTATGTTATTTATATATATATATACTATATATAAATAATTAAAAGTGACATCGTTATATCTTGACTTGTACTGTTAATTATCTTTTTTATCTTTAGTCATTAAAGACAATCAAGTAAATAAAATTAATCAAAAATATGAATTGAATCAGACTTCGTATTTGCATTGAAAGATTGGAAGAGTGAAAAATCATCTTTATTATGCAACTTTTTAAACATTTAATCGTTATTACGTTTTTGATAGCGTGAAAGTTAAACATGCGCGACGATAAATGAATGTATATCGATTATATCTGCTTCTCGCGATGAGAGATAACCAAGTAACTAATTGAATTATGAATCGCCTCACGATCTTTCACCGTGCAAACCTCTCGATGCAGGATGGCAACCGCAATTAACATCGAACACCTGTACAACCGAGCACCTGTATAGAGCTCGTCTGCCAACTAACAATAATTGGACCATTTCACGCTTCTGAAAACACATAAAAATCTCGGAAAGGATAAGCTTTTTTAATCCCAACTAATGAAATTTTAATTGCAGCTACGAATTAATAAAATTTTAATCACAACTATGCAACGTATAATAATTGTATAATATCATAATATACAAGAGTTCGAGTTCAAAATAAAGAATTTTTTAATAAGAAACAAGAAAATTCGCCCACGATTCTTAATTAGTTCGCTCCGATTTTATTTGTGAATATTTTATAGTAGTGTCCTACTTTTAATTTCGCAGAATAATTAATTTGATTTAAAGATTTTAGTATCACATAATAAAATCTCGGAAAGGATAAGCTTTTTTAATCCCAACTAATAAAATTTTAATTGCAGCTACGAATTAATAAAATTTTAATCACAACTATGCAACGTATAATAATTGTATAATATCATAATATACAAGAGTTCGAGTTCAAAATAAAGAATTTTTTAATAAGGAACAAGAAAATTCGTCCACGATTCTTAATTAGCTCGCTCCGATTTTATTTGTGAATATTTTATAGTAGTGTCCTACTTTTAATTTCGCATAATAATTAATTTGATTTAAAGATTTTAGTATCACATAATAAATTATAGAAAGAATGCAGCATAATTCTTGTTTGAAAAATTCAGAATCGTCATGATATTAATCGTCACGTCGAAAACATGCATATTAAACAAGTCGTCCAATACCAGTTCCTAAAAATCTACGATATCGGGTCAACACACTTTTACACACTATATCAATCATATGAATCGGGAATTAAAGTTCTTTTTTAGATCTTTCTCTGAAATCGTTCTGTTTACTCATTATCGACGAGCGACCGTATCATCACTTTTCGGCCGCGCTAATTAAGTTGTCGAAAAACGCGATTGTACTACTTATTAAACATAGTTTGTCTCACGTGAAATGCATGTTTAACTTTCACATTATTATAATATAATAATTAAATGTTTATTAGTTGCATAAGAAGGATGATTTTTACTTTTCTGATCTCTGAATGTGAATAAGGAGCCTGATTCAATCCCTATTTTTATTTTATTGACTTTATTAGATCGTCTTTAACACGACTAAAGATAAAAAATAATACTTTGCGTCTTAAATACGAAATTACTAATAAAAAAAAAGAATAATGATAATAAAATAATAAACAAAAAAGAAAATCACAAAAATAATAAAAAAAATAAAAATGAAACGTACGATCATGACGACTTCGCTATTTCATCTCGGAGATACATGACATACCTATATATTTCACTATTTTCATAGATTTTTCTGTGATTTATGCTTGCCAAACTCGTTGATTGTTTTTTTTTTCGAGGTATCGATTCGCGAAATTGTTGATAATAAAATATAAAAATCTGCACAATTGGGACTAACGCTTACGATTTCGATGTCGATAATCTTTTCGTTACACTTGCCGAGATGGAACACGAAGGTTCTCAATATCGCACCGCACTTGTTTTGAAACCGGTTTCAATGTGTTTGAAATACGGTATCTCTCTAGGGTTCAACGGAGATATTACTCTCGTTTAAAGTTCAATATCCATCGGTCCCGCGAGTACTCATTTCGTTTCAGAAACGCGAAATTTTATGACTATATCCAAACAGTTTTCAGGCTGACCATATAAGCAATAAAACGTCTTGGTTCGCGAACGAGCGAAGAGGAAAAGATAAGAATATGGAGAAGATCCTCGTTTAATTATTGTCCACCTGTCCTAATCGAACAAACTATCGTGTAAAAAAGTATACTAATATAAAATGATAAGTATTAATTAGGTATATCTTTCCTTTATCAACATTTTTTATGAATTTTTTTATCAAAATTAAATTGAATAATCCATGTATATATTAAATTTTGAACTCGATTAATGCTTTTAATCTAAGAGTAATAATTCCAAATAATAAAAATTTGTAATAAATTTAATGTGGCAGGTAAAAAGCGCAGCTCTTGCTTTGTTAGTTCAATTTAAGAACTTTGTACAAACTCTCTTATTTTCTATACTTGCATAAGATACCGCGGAATTTTACATAAATAAATGAATCATATTCAAGTTTTAGAATAAATAATATTACGAAATTAATAGCTATGTAACGCGTACTTGCACTTTGTTGTAGTCGATGATCAATCGTTAAAATTGTTGACAAAAAAGTATATTAATTACACATGGAATATTGTAATGAATGTTAGATTATAATTTTGTCGTAAAATATGATCAATTTTTTACAATATACGTGCCTTGAGATATTAAATTTATGTTCGTCAACACTGTTACGATCACATAATTCACGTTTATAGTCGTTTTTAAGTTAGTTGTTGCAATAACGCGTTGATGCAGATCAGTTGCATAAAAACAATAGCTCGCACCTATTTCATATAAAGGTATCTCAACCTACGATAAAATTTATAAAAAAATTTTAAGATGCGATATAGACCAACGATACGTGACTTTTATGAATAAATGCGAAACTTATGAGCAATATTAGCTATACTATTACGGTAACGTACAACATTTAATGCAATTGGACTTCGATATTTTATGATTACACCTTAGACTATGTTTACGGCAAGTATGTCAAGAAATATATATATATATATATATATTATATATCTTCATCTGCAAATGAATTCTTCCCTCCCGATTTCTCGAGTATCGTCTCGTCTCTCATGGACGCTGCCAATCATCGAGTTATTATATAAAATAATCACCTATAGCTATATATATGTATCAATTATCAGCTATCGTGTAGAGTTTGCGCTTAACACGATATTTATAATTTTTTTCTTTACCAAGTGTTACCTTCGAATATAAACTACTGATCTGTCCTTCAATAAATATGTACATATATGAATTTTATTTTGCGCCTATACGACTCATAAATCGCCTCAATTTTATTCGCAAGATTTTACTATTATGTGATGTAAAATTATTTATAAAGATAGATACACATACAATACATAAAATTACGTTAATATGGATCTTTCGTCTGATATAGATCTCTTATTTTCAGTTTTTATTCTCGATTGTTTAATATCTTTTTATTCTGTAAATCGCAAAAAAATGTATCATTTGTATTCATCTGCTTTATAACATTTTTTTGAATGATTTAATTCTTATTTGCGCGCTTCTCACAAACGAATTGATGTAAAGACTAACTTATTTCACACTTTCAATAAATACTCGCGACACGGTGTTTTATTTGATACCATCTCTGTGGGCTCGGCTCAGATAAAGTCCTCATTCATCGGAAGCGAACAAGTTGCCTTGTCCGCAGAAAGAGAATCGGCTTTCCTAGTTTTTTCTACCTATTATCTATTACCCCGTGTCGAACGATCGCCTTTACCGCCGGCGATTTCAAACATACGGACAAATATACCGCGAAAACTGATGCCAGAACTCGCGGTCGGAACCGGTTCTCGCTTGGTGTCGATGCAACGACGGGACGCATTTCTTTCTGTGTATCGGCTACTTTCGTTTTCACGACACCTCCAATCGCTTTGACACGAAACGAGTGCGGAATGCGCGCCCGATGTGCCATTTAGGCGGACGAAACGGACGCGAGACTCGCAGAATCCTCGTAAATTTTATTTGTCGCGAACAAAATTCCTCGGTAAATAACTTCGGTGGCTCTTCAGTCTTGCAATCAAGTTTCCGAAATTTTTCAAACATAATGACAACGCCTTTATTCCTAATTATTTCTAATCATCATGATTTGTATTAGATCTATGCCACTTCTTAATCATTAATATAAAAAGTGTTTCAACATTGATGTACGTTTTTTAATTAATAGTTTTGAAATTATTTTTTCTTAAATGTAGTAGAATTTAAATAAAAAATTTGAATTTTTAGATATAAAAATGTTAGAAGTCAAGTATAGATATTAATTGTAACAAAATTATTTTTAAATTCCTTATACTTATTTTGACAACATTTATTAATATCTCTGTGGCTTCTACTAATTTATTTATAACTGCATTTATAATAGAAATTCTATTAATAAAATTGCTTTAGAAAATAAAAAAAATTTAAAAGATCTTTAAAAGAAGATACCAAAATGATATATGTATAAATCTAACAATTAAAAAACGAATAACAAATGTTATAATAATCATGTGCAAAAATTATCGGTTATTTTCCTTCAAATTACAGCAAATTAACTAAATTCTGATTTCCGATAAGTATTGGTCATTGATAATTAGCTGTATTAACGTCGTAAATTCTGCAAAAATGGCCGACGATCGTATGTATAGCAAATTACAAACGATCCACATAAGATGCCTTATGCGGAATTAATTAGTAATCCGCTCAACTCATAAAGGAATTAATTAAACATTCTCACTATGTAAACGAACATATTTGCACCCGCGGTCCACCCGTTAAAACCAATTAAAACAACACGATACAAATGAGCACGAACCTGTTTTCTGCCGACACACAGGATTTTAATTTCGTCCAAAGATTCTTTCAACCGATCGTTTGGTCTCTTTACACGGGATAAAAAGTAATTTGTGTTCGCCGTTTGCAAAATGACAGTTACTTCACGCTCTTAATATTGCCGTATCGCTCGATCGTACGTGAATTGCGATGAGCCACGTTAAACGTCATTAAGATTAGTCGACAGCGCGATTATGAGGAAGCCAAGCCAGCAAATAAGTATATCATAATTTTGATCGCACTGCGGGTACGATAATTAACATTCTATCTCACATTTATAATTCATAATATCCTTAAGCTCGCATCGATTTACACTTAAACATTCGTTTTATTTTATTATGATTTTATTGGATGCTCTATAATTACACACGCAGTAAGTAATCACACGCTTATCCTAAACATTCGACTAAACGCTCGATTACTCGAAATTAAGTAGGCAATTATACAAGTCTTTAGTTTGACAGTCGAGATTAAGTCAATGAATAATCCTTAATATTATCGCGTATTAAATCATTCCCCGAATTTTCAACTGCAATTTTATCACGTTTATGGATTCCAGAGGATTTAATTGATATACAAATAGAATTTTTACTTTGTGTCTCAAATATATGTATAATAAACAAATAATCTTACAAAAAGTATAGAAGTTTAGAAGAACTTCGATAAAACTATAATTTCAAAAAAGATCTGACTGCTTGAAGTATTAAAATAAATGTGAGATTGAAAATTAAAATCGAAAGTAAAAAAAAATTTGATTCGAGTCTGTCCGAAAAAGTTATTCTGCAAATTCACAAGGAAGACTTAATTTGTGCGCATTCTTTCGAAAGACAAAATCGATAAACGCTGGGAATTAAACTACTTTAGCAATACACATATGATACGATATATATGCTATGAAAAATAAACAGCAAAAGACAATTCAGATATGCATAAAGCATCGAGTGTCTTTATATCTTGTTCTACTAAAAGTGTGCGAATATAAATTATTAATCACACTTTGCGAGCGACAGATGTTCTGACTGCGCTTTCAATATTCTGAAAGATGGCATGAATAACGGGACCACGAGATCACTTGCAGCAGTTTAAAAATTAATGTGCCTGAACGTGAAGATATTTAACCGTAACCATTTCCATCATACCGATTACGCAGATGATTGTTAATTTAACGGAGCATTCAACTAACTTCGGAGATCGCAAAGATCTTTGCAAAAAAATTCCCAATTACTTCGAACCGTAAAATCATCGTTCGAATCTCGTTAACTTGTTTACGGTTTTATTATCAACAATATAAAAATGTGATAAAATATTATGTGACTCTTAAAAATAAGCCAACATTTTGTCTCTCCAAATAATGACTATGAATTAATCAGCATTATAAGTTTATTGTTATGCGTAGCATAAATTAAAAGATTAAAAATAAATAAAATGATTAAACTTAATAAAATTTTTCTCTGATTACAGGCGTAAACTTGCAAAATTGCACTGCGGGTCCGTTTGCGAGTGGAAATAATGGCGGTGCATCGCGACAACGTTTAATCGAATTGTCTCACGGATTAGGAGCACTAAGGCACTATAACGATCTTGCCAATCACGTGTTGTCTTTAAATCAGCAGGGTGCCGTCGTCACGAAACTTTTAGGTGAGTCTTAATTTTGTCAAACGTGCTTTTATGATTTTACGCAAAGCAAATTTGCTTCGAAAGAATCGCGTTTTATATATATGTATATATATCTACGATATGTATATACGTTCAATATCACACACCGAGTCGCGCGTTTCTTATCGTTGAAGATATAAGAATATGCAAATTATTGAGTGACATTCTGAACACGAGAGACGTAGAAAAACTACTCCGTTGACATATCGCCATTATGTCGTCAGCCCTATCCAGCGTCGTACACATTATGTACGTACGTAATTTTGATGCAAAGTCATAGGGTAGAAATCATTTATATTTCTATATCTCGGAAATATCATCGACCCCTCCAGAGAATGAAAAAAGAAATAGAACATATACAAAGGTAATATCTAAAGATAGAAATTATTAAATTCATAAGAAAGAGGTTTATCATCTTTATGGAATACAAATTTTAAGCATTTTTATTGTAAAAGTAGACTGTATTTCTTTTCTTTCAATACGTAGAAAATATAGATAGACGTATATAAATATAGGAAGAAATGTTACTCATCATAATCAAATTTTAGGTGACTATATATTACATCTAAAATTTAATTACCATGTTGAAATTTTAGCTATATTAAATTTAACAGAGAATGTCCCAATAAATGGTAATTAAATTTTAGGTATAATATAGGTTCACCTAAAATTTAGCTGTGGTAGCTAATATTTTTTCTGTGTATGCACTTTTAATATTTTTTCTGTGATTCTTTTGGCAACCACCACCGACCTCAAACGCATTAATATCTCTAGCGTTTTCGCGCAAAGAACAAAGAACGCAGCACTAAATGCATTCGTAAAGCACGGTTGGATGTAATGAGCATCGTGAAGAGCGGAATAGACCGCCCAAAGCTCGTTAGCTCGCGAAAATTAACGCGTAATAATCGCTTCTTTCACGCGAATTTCTTCTAGACTTCAGCACCTCGGCAACACGAATAATTTGTTTCACCAATCATTAACTCCTCTGTATTCCAACGGACTTCTTAATCCGATAATTATTAGACTCTCGCGTCTTTATAATCTGTTTTTATAGAGTATATTAATATATATATTTTTGAATATTATATTATAATATATTATTTTAATATTATATAATATTACATTCTAATATTATATTATATTGTAATAGTATACACTCTAAAATATTATATATTACATTATAATATTACATATTATAATATTATAATAGTATGCATAGTGTGTAATGTTACACATGCTATATGATAGACTTTAAAAAGTTATTCTATGCCATTCTTTTCTTTATAACTATGAAATAGAGTAAAAATTTGCATCTCATTTACAACACGACTGCCTAATCGCACAACAAATCATGCCCTGCGCTTTCCGGCATTAGCGCTTTTCACTGTACTTTTTCGTATCTATCTTGGACCGCCATACTTCGAGATATTGCGCTTTCGCCGAGACGGGCACGCGAGTGCGATCTTGCACGCGAGAATTCACGGTGAAACTCGCGGAAATGCAGGCTCCGAACGAGATCGGGAATCGTCCGCAGGAGACCACATCGCGTTCGAGGAAAGACGAGAAAGCCAAGAAGGATATCGAAGAAGAAGCGAAGGGACAAAAAGAGAGAAAGAGAGACACGAATTCGCACGCTGGAAGAAGCGAATAGTAAAAAAAAAAAAATAAATAAATAAATAAAGGTAAGCCACCGAGTATCTCCGCGTGAAATGTCGGGGAAGAGTTTCTCTCTTTCTCGTAGACCTGCCTGTTATCTCGCACGATCCTCGTTAACTTTACGAGCCGCTCGTAAAAATACCGTTTGGGGCCTGTTCTCTCGCGGCGCGCCGGTAATGTCTTCATCCCGTTGGATACGGATTCCTTAGGGCATCTCTCGGGATGAGTATATAATGTACCGTAATCGTGATCAGCCAATTACTTAAACGAACACAACGAACAATTAATTCCGTCGACTTTCCGGCGAGAGTCAACCATATGATTACTCCGATTTGTGTGTCTTTTGCTCGAGAGAAAAATATTATATTATCATTATATTATATCCTTTTCATGAGTTTTCGATTATACTGATTTTCGTATCTTTAGAATTCTGCGAATTCAGTATAGCGATTTTTTATATGAATCGCTTTGAAGATAAGTTAATACGCGTATAATATAAAAATTTATATTCTTTCCATGAGCTACAAATATCGATTTTCGCGTCTTTAAAATTCCGCGAATTCAGTACAGCGACCTTCTATATGAATAGGTTTGAGGATAAGTTAATACGCGCGGTTTCAATGGTTTCAAAATTTTCTCAAACACGCTATAACAAGCCTGACATGTCACTATATCGCAGTTATTTGGATAACTGGACGGCGACGGAGAGGACAATGCCGGAGGCGTTCCGGCTGTTTGCTCGTAGTTTCTATCGCAACGCTTTTCATACACGACCGCCGTGTAATTACGCTAATCCCTCATTATCAATTCATAAAAGAGATCACGTCGCTCTCCGCTGAATGCACGCATGCGACCCGCTGAATACGCTCTTCTCGCCCTGTAACCACACGTACTACACACATACAGGATCCAACATTCGAGTAACCTAACCGGCTGACGAAATTGGCTTCGTGCAGTTTCTTTTATTAAAAACGATTCGCGCGATGCGCTCAAAAGTTTTACATCTTACGCACGCATATATTTTACCTACGTGCAACGCGTACACAGAAGCAAACCGGGAGCGAGCAGCGAATAAAGACAGAGAGGAGGTCAGGGATGAGGGAAGAGATGAAAAGATACGGAAGAGGAAAGACAGAGAGAGAGAGAGAGGAGAGAAATACTGAAAGATGAAATGAGGGAAGACGACTGAGAGACCGAGATGGCAGGTCGGGGCAAAGAATTTGCTCGCGGCGTGGATACCTATTAGATGGATACATCGTTTATATACCCGGCACGCATTTCACCCGTGGGAGCGCACGCGATACCCTGCCGGGTTTTAGCCGTCATTATTGTTATTAATAATAGTACGTAACGACCGATAATTGCTCAAGTCTGCCTGCGCCTCTGGTTTCCATTACCTCCTCTCGTGGCCTCTCTTCGGCCTCTGACGGACGGATTCTCCTTCGCGTTCCTATACCTGGAGACCGGGTGGCCACGACAGAAACGCGAATCACGGATCATGCATGCACGTAGGCGACGTACGCGTCCTTCCACGTTGAATTTACGCGTAATTGGGGTCGGAAGGCGAGTCTCTCGATGAGACCCTTTATGCTCGATGGTTGACGTTGATGTTAGCACGCGAACGTGACTTTCGTTTCTTCGTTTCTATTGTGCCCCGTTTGCGAAAAACAAGACCGCAATAATGTCAGATGCATTGTCTTTGACGTAAAGTCTTTTTGATTATAAACATTTATTTCAGAAGTAGAAACTTTGTAATGTGTAATGGCATGATTGCTATTGCAGTCTATAGATCATCTCAATACTTGTTGTATATAAGTTTGAAGTTGTCATTATTCTATTATAGTGCAATGGTTGTTTACGCAATATTAAATACAAATTCTGTAATTATGCAATTAATATAATAATTTAGTTATTTATTGGTAGAATATTATAATAATAATTGAGATTAAAAAAAGAAATGTATGTGTTCTTTGCTGCGCGATATTAAACAATATTATCGAATTAATATGTATAATGAATATGTCACAATATATTTTTTTTAATTGTGTAAATATATTATGACATAATAATTTAGATTATTATAATTAAAAAAAGAGCATTATACAAAAATTATTCATTCTACATCTTTTTCTTTTTTAAATCTTATTAGATTTTATGAAAAAAAATAATAAAATTAACTCGTTATTCGGAAGAGTATATAGGATATATAAAAGTAAAGTTATTTTAGTAAATATATATATATATGTACTAAATCTAGCTTCGAAATTATTATAATATAATGCATCAAAAACTTGTTGTTTAGAATATTGATTATACTACTTGTCTTATTTTCACCAACATTTTATTTAACATCGCAAAATCAATCGTGTGCATAGTTTGTTCATACTGTAAATGCTCATCAGACTATTCTGCATCTTAGCATTTACTTTAGGTGGTAGTTAATTCATTACTAATTGACCGCTGCATTGTCTCTCACCCCCCTCCAAGGGGTTATTTAATTATAAGTTCAGTTTCTATAGAACATGAAAGCGATAGACATGCTTGCTTATGACCTCGTATTAGCGTTCTCTCTAAATATATTATAATAAATGCTTCTTAATTTTCACAAAAAACTTTCTAGTAAACTATAATTAAAATTTTTTTCTAAATAAATTTTTTCCAAACTGTATAGTCCAATTGAGATCAAAGCGTCCAATGAAATTCTTAAACAGATATTTACGACGCGCGATAATGACACTGAAAATATTCCGGATTATCGCGAAGCAACACGATTACCCACGCGTGCATATAATTTTCTTATATCACGACGTTTATTACATAAGATATCCTCATGTTGTCCTAATCGCTGCATCATGAATCCGCCCAGATACGACGATAGGATTGATATCTATTCGTGTATATGGTAGCACGCGATGTTAGGCATAATATTGCTCCGTGACTTTTGTAATGTATTACCATTTGAATATTCTTGTACTTTACTATTACATCTCACACAATATTCTTATATTCATTAAAAAATATTGAAAATATTTTAACGCATCTTTTATGCACGCGAAGCAGTTATTCGAGATAATCGGATATTTATATGAACGCGCCAAATTATATTTAATAATAATAGTGTTGTAATATATAATATTATAATTATCATTTCGTTCACATCGATCATGTCTGCGAGAGATACGTTCGGATTCCGAGGCATCGCGTGATTTTTGAGAATTATTGCGAGCTTCGTGGTTTTTGGCGTGACCGAGCTACCGAATAGGATGCAAAATATAAATGCACCATGCCGTGGCGCATTTACCGAGCGATTTTATCGAGGGCCAGAACTTTTACCAATGCATTCGCGTCCTTGAAACTCGTTTTATCGTGTGTTCCAGGTACCCTGCGTCCGCCGGGTCTGATCGGTGGCAGTAAGCCAAAAGTAGCGACACCGGCTGTCGTCGCCAAAATCGAACAGTATAAAAGGGAGAACCCGACCATCTTTGCCTGGGAAATTCGGGAGAGGCTAATCTCGGAGGGTAAGATAATGATGTTGAATTTTTTTTCTAATTGGTACTCTTTAAACATATAAATTTAAAATAAACTAAAGTGAATTTATATATGAGCTAAGTCACGCGCCTAAAGGACGATTAATAATGCAAAAGAAAAAAAAATGCGACAAAGTAATAATTGCGAAAGCGTAAACTCAGAGACAAATTAACTAACATTGACATTGACTACGATTTTTCGCAGAACGCGCTTAGTCATAACGTCAAGTCTTCGTCAGCGCGATGCATAAACTAGCGTGTTTCTTACTTAATTATGCTCGTCCTTTGTAAGCCATGCGAATGCAAACCGTGATTATAAGCACACAAGTATGAATATAACATATAATTTAGAAAGAATTAAGAAACGCGTTTCTGCGACCTTATTGCCTGACATACATACAGTTCTCCGTGTGCTAACATGAATCTCATTACAATTGCCAACAAATTCTTGTTCTATATTCTTGTCCTAAAGTTTTACACAGAAAATTCAACATCATATCGCCAAGAATTTTGCATTCATTTCGATTTCGCGTTCATGGTAGATTAACGAAAGAGGCGAAAATTATTTTTTGAAAAAAAAAGACGGCGCATTTGTGAATAAATATATTTTTCGCGTTAATGTAACATCGGATAGAACTGTCATCGTTGACCGAGACGTCGACACCCGCCTGTTCCAGGGGTTTGCAGTAACGCGACCGCGCCGTCGGTCAGCAGCATCAACCGGATACTGCGGAATCGCGCGGCGGAGCGCGCGGCAGCGGAATTCGCGCGGGCCGCCGGTTACGGGCTGTACGCGGCCGCCGGCCCGCATCCGTACTTCAATTCGCACCAGCATCCGACGACGAGCCATCATCTGCCGGCGGGTTGGCCGGCGCCGACAGGCGCGGCTGGTCATCCGTGGATGCTGCCGCCTCTCGCGACCGGCATTTCCGGCGCCGCCGCGTCCGCGCTGCTTCTGCCGCCGTCCCTGAGTCCGGGTGCAGCCGCAGCCGCGGCCGCGGCCGCGTCCGCGTCCGCTGCCGGCAGCTCCGAGCACGCGCTTCATGCCGCCGATGTGATCGCGCGAGGATACCTGCAAGGTAGGACGAAACGGAGATCGCGATACGTTTTTTATTTAGAAGGACGAAAATATTTTAATGCTTCTTGGTTTCGTGGAAATACTTTGAATTTTCTAAATTTTCTATGTTTCCTATTTTCTATATTTTTAAGAATTTGATGATTTAATATTCAAAGTAGATTAGATTCCGAATGATGAAATGCAATTAAATGCGGATTTGTATATAATTGTTGGAATGGAAATGAAAATTGTTGTTTATTAATGTTTGCTCGAATTGATTTAAGCTCAATATTCTATCAATAAGATTTTCTTGTTTATGACATTAATTTTCGCGCGTAAATAAAAGCTCGCAATTAAAAGTTAAAATTTATGTATATTTTTAATATGAAAAAAAATTGATTTAAAAAAATATGAAAAAAATAATATTTAAATCAAATTATTTTAATATCAACAGTATATGTATATGTATACATATATTGATATGATAAAATAATAATTTTCTCTTAGAATTTAACCTGAAAATCGTGATAATCATGGGACAATATTGTATTGGAAAAATTTTATAAGAGTTTCTCTGGTCAAATATTTAGCACAATAAAAATATGAATATCTGCCACAATAAGATATAAAATATGTTCGATTAATTTTACTATACATATTAATATCTTTTTTGTGGTAAATATTAATCAAAGAAACTCTGATAAAATTCTTCCGATACCATATTATTCCACAATTACAATTATGATTTTCAGGGTAAATTCTAAGAGAAAATTCTCTTCGTGTAGAAATATTGAAAATTTCCTAATTTTTTAATTACACACATCGAAGTCGCACCGTGATATTGAAAATGTTGCCCCAATTCGTCAATAGATAAAAAAAAATGTTTTATTTTAAACGGGGTTGTAGTCAGAGAAACAGCCCATAGAAAGCTTTAATTAATGTGCGCAGACGGTGACGGGGATGACGGAAGTTTAGATGGTTCGGAGCAGCCCAAGTTCCGACGTAACCGCACGACTTTCAGCCCGGAACAGCTCGAGGAGCTCGAAAAGGAGTTCGAGAGATCGCATTATCCTTGCGTGTCGACGCGCGAGCGTCTCGCGTCGAAAACGTCACTTTCGGAAGCGCGCGTTCAGGTGAGGCTCGACTACTTACAGAATATAAAAGATAAAGAAGCGACGCGACGACACGCAGGAGTCCGGTCCATGTGACTTTCTCGAAGCGGATCCTGCGGAGATGTCGCGTCGTTCCCGAATTTACCGAATCTATATTATCCGACTTGATCACGAGCGTTCTAACGACCTAACTCGTGACTCTTAGGTTTGGTTTTCCAACAGACGGGCAAAGTGGCGTCGTCACCAGCGCATGAACCTCTTAAAGCGCTCGCCACCACCGCCTCCACCGCCACCGCAGCCGCAGCCGCAGCCGCAGCAGCAACCGCACTCCGCTACGTCCGCTATGGAAATCGGCCAGCGTACATCCGGTTGCTCCATCGCCGGCATGGGCGGCGAAAGTAGCGCGTTTCGCGCGGTCGTCGCCAATTCCGCGAATACCAGGGACGCGAATCTCGACAGATCCGAGAGGATCGACAGGTTGGACTCGGTAACGAAGCAACCGGAGAGGAAACCCAGCGCCTTCCGGATGATCAGTCAGCTGGTGGGCGACGACTCATCCGGACTCTCGAGACCGGCGAGTCCTGTATACGAACGACACGGATTTGGTCCTAGACCGGGATCGGCTCACAGGATACGCTACGATCAGAACGAGGACGAGGACGAGGAGATCGACGTACAGGATTCCGATCAGGATGCGCCGTCGTCGCCGCCGGTTGCCTGGAGGGATCACTGGACGGATCAACAACCGTTGGAATTGACGAAGCACGATCGTTAAATGAGGTGTGATTATATTATATCGTCAGTTCGGACACGAATGAGACATTTTGGGGTGAGCTGGAGATCGAGATATCTATGATATTTATTTATGTATCTTAATCGGGATAAATCGCGCAAAATCGTGTAATTCTGTCAGTGCTCGAGGTGGATCGTAAAGTGAATCGAGAAGTGAAAAGGTGGACAAAAATTCTTTTCTTCTTATGGTGCTCGGATTATAGTGAGATTAGCTAACCGTGAAATATGTTTGTTGATCCGAAACATCGACGATCGTTCAATTTTCGTGCGATAGATCGATAACGTGCTGCATCGACAATGAACTGCATCATTGGCAATTATATGCACAACAGCGCGTGTTCTTAAGTATATTCTCTCTCTTTTTTCTTTCTTTATTATCGGGCTCGGATTTTCTTTCTATCGGTTGAAATCTTAAACGCCTATGGAACTATACTTATTACAAACACGGACAATTTCTTACAATTATAATTGCGAGTATATAACTGCTGCGATCTGTGTAATATTAAAACGCAACATCATCAGTGTCACTGTAATTATTGTTGTAGATTATGTAGGCGATCAAAACGCAAACGCTACTAATTCGCTCAAATCTGCCTGTGGAGTCGCTCGTTGCGAATCAAAAATAAATTTTGATATTACGAGCAAAGAGTGAGATTATTCGAGCTCATTCGGAACTAGTCCTAGCGAATCATTATGAATTAGAAGGTGTGCATTATCTAAATATTTGAAATAGACGTAAGCGAAAACACAGATAATCCTGTATGAAATGTCTATTAAAATAACGTTTAATAAGATGTATTTAAATGAATCCTGTTAAAGTAACGTATTTAAATGAAAATCTGTTTTTTTTGTAAATATCCACATATTATATATATATATATATATATATATATATATATATATATATATATCTGACGTCACACAATTCATTCTCTTTTGCGAAAACTCTTCCAAAAATTTCCTTTGCAATTATCTCCTAAAAACAATTTTCGGTTATATCCATCGAATATTATTCGCATAATATAATATATATCATATTGAAATAAATTTACATAAATATCCGATGATCTCATTTATCAAATCAATTTCCTTCCAATCCTAAATTAAATAATGCTATAAAGAAATAAAATAAATCAAGTATATTTTTGATGCTTAATTATTTAATAACTTTATTCTTTTTCATTCTAAAAAGTTACTTTAATTTTAAAGTGTGAAAACTTAAAAATAGATAAGCTATAAAAAATGTGAAATATTTTTCCTTCAGTAACATGGATTTATAATCATCGTGTTTGCTTCCCGAACTATACATATCTTTATCGATTTACATTAAAATTGCCACGGGCATCAATACGTAAAATAATCGATATCATGCAGTTGCAGACATTTTTCGATTTATACTTCACGGCAATTATTCCTTAGCGAAACATATTTCCGTATATCTATACTCTCCGATATGTACAACACATTTCGTTACATATTGCACAAGAAAGAAGAAAGAGAGGGAGAGAGAAAGAGAGATATCCACTCATCTAACACTTCGTATACATACCCACGTATATGTATACTTATCTCTTATTAAGTCTCTCGCGAATACCAACATTATGATCGTAACCAGCATGCATCTACTTGTTGTTTTGTTAACAAAGAGAAAAAGAGAACTGAGTACACCTACACATAGACACACGCACAAAAGGTAAATTGCCAATAGTTATCTCCTGCTTAATATTCCATAGAACGCGGTTTACAGTTCTGCCGGATAGTGTTCGCGACTTTCTGAAAAATAAAAAAAAATTGAAGATGATCTTATCCTCCACGATCATTTCCTTACCGCGGAAATATTCGTTATCGCGCGTATTCTCTCTCGCCTTGAGACTCTCCTATTAAAAATCTCTCTCATACGCGTGGCAGAAGTTAAAGACGCCATTCTCGCGATCAGCACCGGGAACAGAGTTTCATTCCCCAGCAGACGTCGATGACGACGTAGGTTAATTCCCGAGAGTATGCGAATTGTGGGAAAGAGATGAGGGAAGTATAAAGGAAGGAAAAGGCGCGCGAGAAGGCTCATCGACGATTAACTCGAGTAATCTACGGTTTCGTCGGGCTCGCAAATAAGGAATCTGCGCGCGAAACTGGTTTCCCCGATCGAGCGACACTCTCATCTTACTCGGCACGGGTGGAATCGCCTGTTGCCGTCCGGAGCACGAAAAACATTGGATCCGCGCGACATTTCGGATATCGTGGCCCGCGTCAACGCGACCGGCCAATTTATGGCCACGCTTGGCTTCACGAGAACCGAGAATACGGTAGGACGAGGTAGAGCAGACGTAACGGAGACCAAGAAGAGGACCGGCTGAACGCGAGATCGAGCATGTAATACGAGCGGACTCGTTAATGGCGTTAACACGACGGATCGACGTACCTTTTCACGCATATCTTCTTCTCTTTTTTTTTTAAACCGAATGGGAGAACCTGCTTCTATTTGCGCGTGAACGAAATGACTGGCTTGTCGGTGTCGATATATAAAGGCGCATATGAAAGGATCCCGCGAGAAGCCACGAAGTTGGTATATGGGTTGGTACTTGCGGATTTCGAGACGGGAAAGTAATTCGAACCGTCCGAAGGTGGAACAGGTGGAAGATACCCAATAACGAGACCAGAAAGTCTGGATATAAAGGATATAACGAGCGCGGTGGCTCTCTCATTGTAGAAGGTTCTTGTGGTTTCTTTTACTATGCCTTTATCATAAATAATAGTGGACGTAATAATGATTGCGAGACTCTATAAAATGAAAAAAAAAATACCTTTTTTTTCTTAATTAATCAATCTTTTAACTTTGCATATTACTCCAGCTTGCGATGGTTTCCTCATTGAAATTCTCACGGTTTCTTTTATTATATATTAATCGATCACAAACAACAGTGTATGCAATAATGACTACGATATTCGGAAATGAGGATAAAAACATTTTCTAATTATCTGTTAATTAATCGAACAATTTTAATTTCCCATTTGCGAATCATTATTACTCTACTCTCTCTCTAAATCGCGGAGTTTTTTCAGCCTTTTAATTTCGATATTGCGGTACATTGCGGTTCATTCATCCGCCATCGCTATACATATATTCAAGCCGAGGAGATCCAACGCAAACAGTCGGCAGAGAGAAGTGATAAACAGATATCGGCGTCATTAATAGCGGTGATGAGTGAGGATCGGTCGGCGACTCCCGACTTAGAAGTGGGAAATGGAACGCGGAGAGAAGGTGACGAAGAGGCGAGGGAGAAGGTCGAGTCCTCAGGTGTTGGAGGAGCTTCTCGTCGGACATGCTTGAACGGTCGGCCACAGGAAAGCAGAACGTAACAATTACTATCTGCGCCCGATCGGTGCGCGGCAAGATTAACGATCTTACTCCCTCGGTCGGGCCCGTCCTAACCGCGATTGCTCACCGGCAAAGTGCGAGGGAAAGAGACAAGAGGAGAAGTCGACGTTAAAGTCACCTCCTCCTTTGCTCAATGAGATATTGCCCGGCGCGCCTCCTCGCGAGGCGTAAATCGCGCGCTCGTTCGCTCTCGTAAGGCGTAACCATGCACAGTCCGCGTGCTTAAGTTGAGATATTCGGATGTTAACGAGAATTAGGACGAGAGGATTATCCCGACGGACACACGCGGCCGTTCGTATTCGCCGTAAATTGCGTTAAGCCACTTCCGCCGCGTCTCTCTCTCTCTCTCTCTCTGCTGCTCGTGAGAAAATATATTGTTCGAACGTTTCGCGCGCGATAAAACGAAAATACGCAAATGAGACACAACATCCACTTAATCGACAAAGTCACGCGTTGATGCGGACCCTAACAAAATTTATGTAGGGTTAACAATTGCTCGAAAATTTTTATTCGAGATAATTATTTTTGAATTTATTTTTGATCGGAAGAAATTATAATAATTTGATTCGCAAATTTTTATTACGCGCGCACAGGAGGAACATTTGTGTTTTCTTGTTGAAAATGGTCCCCGTTCAAATTTTTGTGTTACAAATATTTAACACATTCATGTGTTAAATTATTAAAACAATTGAAAAAATAAGACAACGTGCATCTATTTTTAATTTTACACAATTTTGTTCTGTTTTATTAGCGACAAGATTTATCTGTTAAAATTTACAGAAAAAATGTTAACTTTTTATTTTATAATATAAGTGGGGATGATAAAATCTAAAATGAATATACTTTAGTTAATTTAACTATGTTAATGTAACAGCAAATTTATTTTAAATTATTTAAAGTTTTGCATTTATTTTGTGTTAAATTATTAACACAGTACTCGTGTCTCCATTTAACGTATGTTAAATAAACACAAAAAAATTTCTGTGGATCGTTTGGGACATGTGATATCTGTTAAAAACACCAATTTGTCAATTGTGCGGTAATTAGAGTGAAACAAGAGCGCATTTGAATAATTATCATAGCATCTTTCCCAAATATATGAAAAGAATTCGAGGAGAAATTGTGTGGACGCTAAAAGAAACTCGTTTAATTAAATCAGTCAATTGATTATTTGGTAATGATAGTGCGCCTATATAATTTTGCCTCCTCTCCACTTCTTATTCAGCTGTATCTCGTCTTAATTCTCGTAAAATATGAATACACATAGGCACATTATACAAAAACATTCAAATACGCTGTTCGGTTTAAGCGGCGATTTATCGAGACCGTTGAATCCCTTCAGAATGATCGGTCTGCTCGTTGCCAAGAATCCAGAAGGAAGAGGGAGAAGGTGTTTGACAGAACGACGATAGGACGAAAGGGAAGAGAAAGACACGAGGGGTGGCACGGTCCGGCAATAATACGCGAGAAATCGTGAATTAGTGAGACTCTTTTTGAGCGTGCGGACGGAGAAAAGGAGTGCCCGATGATTTCTCGCCCAATTAGAGTCGACCGGGCTATAAACTTCCGCGCGGATAAGATAGGATCCCGGTTTTCTGTGTTCTCCCTCGTGTCCGGAGCGAGAGAGAGAGAGAGGGTCCCCGGTAATATCCCAGTCCGGAAGCCTTCCAGGTCGCATATAGATCGGGAGTTTGGCTTGGCAGCAGAAACAGAAAGAGAGAAAGATACGGGATAAAGGACTTGAGCCAGAGCGGAACGATAAAGGGAGAAAACGAATAAGGGAGAGACACAGGAAGAAAGGCTTAACGTGGAAAGATGTATAAAGAAAAGAGTAAAGAGCAAACACGAGAAGACAAGACAAGGCAAGAATGAAGGAGAGAGTCCAAGTGGAGGCGAAGCAAAGAAAGAGGTGAAACAGCGAGGAGGAGAGAGAATACCTGAGCATTGGGACGGAGCTAATTGGCTCGTCCACTGCCCATTGAAATCGCCGTCCCGGTATCGGCTTCGATCCACATATATACGCGCCAACGTTTTCAGGACGATCAATTAAATGGAAATGGTCGTGAGATATCCCACCAGAAACAGACGTTCTCGCACGTTTCACGCTCGGCCGAGTTAGCCCGCATCGCCCGAAAACGACTCCCGGAGATTTTCGGTATAACGAGAAAGGAGAGGGAAATAGAGCGAATGATTAGATGATCGCGTGGTCGCGTGCATCACGCTTACGACTCAACGAGCTGTGAGCACAGAATTCGACCGAGAAGAGAATTCACTCGACTGTGCACAGAGAAAAAGAAATCCTTGATTCAAGTATATTTTTATTCTTGAACGCTATTTGATTGATTTAAGCATAGAATGCTCTTTGTAACCACGAATTTTCATTTGCCTTAATAATAAATAAGTTTGTGTAAAGTATATTTTATCCTTAAGATATATTCTTGTTTGAAAAATCGCATATGGTAAAAACAAACTTAGTCACA